TCCCCATCCTGATCTGATCGGTACTTGAGTGATAGAAGGAGCAGTGATGATCACGTCGTGTCCCCAGCCTAGGCAGCTGGAAGCCTGGTGTATTTCACCTCTTGCACTCCTGCCGTCATCACGGAAGGCACGCCTTGCCAGCCTGCTGGCCCCAGGAATAGGAAGAGAGTTCCCATGGAGACTCCACGCTAGCTGAAGCTGAACACAGCGCGCCAGCCAAAATCGAATACAGAAGAATAATAAGGCACTGAGTTTTGGGACTGCTTGTTACACAGCAACAGCTCACTGACAGGAGAACAGAAAAGAGTAAAAGACAACAGTCTAACGAGAGAACGGAGCTGGGCAACCTCCATTATCAGGTTGCCGACACACTGTCCTTTGGTGTCTTGGCACTAAGCTCTGATCACAGAAATGATGTCAGTGTGAGGAAAGTCAACAGAAAAGAAAACCATGGGGCCCAGGCCTCAGGACAATTGTCTCTCCCCTGACAGGCCAAGCAGCGTAACTATCTCAAGTGTTTATGGATCACATTCTCCCTCCCATTCTTCCGACGAGCAGGGTGGGTAAGCCAAGAGTGTTTTCTGGGAGGATCATTAAACACTTTCAATGCTTGGACGTGGTAGATGTCCGTTCAGGGACCCTTCTCACCATATCCCTAAGTGGCCAACCCCCAGCATAAGCCTGTGTTGTGATATTTGGTCCTTCATTCTTAGGAAGTGCCCATTGTCTAACTGGAATCAGAGACTGCTCACAAGACAGCTCTGCCTGGTTAGCTGCTGCCCATGTTTTAGAACTCATTTAGCCTCGCCATAAGACTCTCAGGACCAGGTCTTTCCCTCCCAATCCTCCCCACCTTCCTGGCCCACAGACTGCTAGATCTTTTGCCTAAATTTTTCTATCCTGTGATGACCCTCCCTGCCTTCTGGCCATTTGCCCTGACTCTCGCTTCCTGTGGTGACCCTCCTTGGGAGTGGCACGCCCTGCTTCCTGCTCTGACCCTCAGGCACCGTAGGCCGGGCCTCAGGGGGCATTCCTGGAACTACTCGGAGCTCTGTGCTCTGTTCCTGGTACCTCCCAAGTCGCTCTGCCTGGTTTCAGCTTCCCCGCCATGTCTCCTGAGCTCTGGCGGGAGGTTGGCGTCTCCTGAATTCTCCAGAATGCATGCATTGCTTGGGGTGAGCGTCCCGAGATGGAGGCAGCTGATGCAGTCCCCGTGAGCTGGCAGGCACCTGCCTGCTCCCAGGCAGCTGAGTGACTCTGGGGACAGAAGCGAGGCTACTGGGAGACAGGGACCTGGGACCCGTGAATCTGGCCTCAAGGCTCTTAACAGTGTAAAAAAATCACAGAGGCTCTGGGTAGCTCAGTCGGTTGGCGCCACCTGGCCCAGGTCATGATCAGCGGTTTGTGGGTTGAGCCCCAGTGCCTCTGGCACAGCTGACAGCTTCCGGCCCCGGAGTCTCCTCTTCGAGCTCCCGTTCTCTCTGCCCCTCTCACACTCTGCTCTCTCTCTCTCTCTCTGTCTCAAAATAAATAAACATTGGGATGCCTGGGCAGCTCAGTTGTTAGCCCAACTTCAGCTCGGTCACGATCTTGGTTTGTGAGTTCGAGCCCCGCCAGGCTCTAGCTGACAGCTTGGAGCCTGAGCCTGCTTTGATTCTGGTCTCCCTCGCTCTGCCCTCCCCCCACTCACACTCTGTCTCTCTGTCTCTGAAAAAATAAATAAACATTAAAAAAATTAAAAATATAAATAAACATAAAATCATACCAATGCAATTCCGGAAGAATTCCAGAGTGATGCAAGGCCTTTCCCAATCATTGGTGGAAGGCTATACATTGTCCAATAAATACTGTCTTAGCTACAATATATACTTTTGATCCGAGTATTTTTCCTATATTTACTTTCCCCTATTTTTACTTTTCATTATTACTTCTTCTTTGACCTATAGATTATTTAAAAGTGCCTTTCCTGGGGCACCTGGGTGGCTCAGTCGGTTAAGCATCAACGATTTGCACCAGTCATGATCTCACAGTTCATGAGTTCAAGCCCCACCATGGCCTCCATGCTGACAGTGCTGAGCCTGCTTGGATTCTCTCTCTCTCTCTCTCTCTCTCTCTCTGCCCCTCCCCTACTTGCACACACAGGCACCGGCTCTTTCTTGTCCTCAAAGTAAATAAATAAAACTTAAAAAAAAAAAACCCACAACAACTTAAAAAGTGCATTTCTTAGCTTCTAAACGTAAGAATTTTCTAGTTATCTTTTAAAATTGAAGTCTGGGTTGTTACATCATCACATAAGTCGTGTACTTGCATTTTCCCAACTTCATAAAGGTGTAACCTTTCATATTAACATAAGGATTGGAGGAGGAGGCCAGAAACCACCTTGGCAAGTTGAGGGAGGGGGCTGGAAGGGAGAGGGAAAAGCTCAAATTAATAGTGTTTCTTTTGTCGTAATGAGTGAGAATTCGAAGAGCTTAAACAGGGGTCAGTGCCAAGGAGCAGAGGCCACGCAAACTACAGCTTAATCACACTTGCTGTAAGAGAGGAATTTTTAAAAGATGTTTATTTTTGAGAGAGAGAGAGAGAGAGAGAGAGAGAGAGATGGGTGGGGGGACAGAGGATCTGGGGCAGGCTCGAGCTGTCAGCAGAGATCCCGATGCGGGACTCGAACTCACAAACCATGAGATCATGACCTGAGCTGAAGTCGGATGCTTAACCGACTGAGCCACCCAGGCGCCCCTCAGAGAGCAATTTTGAGTGCATAACAGCAATCTATACTTTCACAGGGCAAGTTTCCCTTGTCTTACAATAAGATTCTATTTATGTGAAAATGGGACTCACACAGATCTTTAAGGGCACATTCCAGAGGCAGTGCCAGATAGAGGGTAAGAACACAGACTTCAAGGTCAGACAGGTTTAGGAGCATCCCTAGCCCTACCTTTGAGGGTTGTGGGGTCTTAGCCTCTCCATGCCTCAGTTTCCTCACTTCCAGGACAGAGGTAATAATAATATTGACATCTTAGAGTCGCTATGAGGATTTGAAGTTCCCGGGACAGTGCCCGATGCGTGATAAGAAATTTGGGTGAATGGGAGGTTTAAGTAGAATATTCATTGGTGCCTCTTTGCAGCACAAACACACCAGCTCTTATGTCCTTGACCGAAGAAAGGAAAAGACCAGGAAGACGGTCGAACTGGGATCTCAGGGAAGATTCAGATGGGACCGGTGACCTCCCCCTGCCCTGTCTCTGCCCCGGGGTCCCACTAAGTCACATAGGACCACTGGCTCCGCCACTCATGAGACAGAGTTGACGTGAGGGCAGTGGTGTTCCCGGGGTCTTATGTGTGGACCCCCTCCCCTCCTCAGGGCCCCCGGCGTGGCTGTTGCAGGTGCTGTCTGAGCTCCCCAGACCACCAGCCCTCACTGCCCAACCCCATAAACTTCCCCTATGACCTTGATATTTCCTATTGTGTTTTCTACCTCCCTGCCTTTGCCCATATTGGTCCTTCCTGGAGTGCCCTGCCCCCCGCATCTGACTGCCGCGTCTACAGACCCTTAATAATCTATCTCCGGTGCGCTTACTCCAAAAATGCTTCCCTGGCCCCCAACCCATCAGCCGGGGGAGCGTCTCTCCCAACTGTAGCGTTTTATGGTACTTTACTCTTCTCCCCCGAATTGTAGTTATTTCTCCCGTCAGATGATAGTCCCTTCAAAGGATCACATCAGTTTCCTATTTTCAAGGGGGCTAGAGAGTTCCATGAATATTCGTGGAATGACACAATGAATATTCTACCTCCTAATGATAGAAGAGTCAACCGTGAATAGTTTAGAGTCATGGCTTTGGAGTCAGAGAGTCCTGGTTCAAATCCTAACTTTTCCATCATTATGCTGTGTGACCTTGGGCAAGTAACTCAGCCTCTCTGAGCTCCACTCAATCAGTATTTATGAATCGCTTACTATGTTTCAGTCACGGTGCTAGGCTCAAAAGGAGTTCACGGACTGATGGTTGAGGTATCCATGAAACAAATACACACAAAAGAACGTAACACAAATCATGAGAAGTTCCATCAAGGAAAAAAACAAGTTATGAAAAAGAATAACAAACACGGGCACCTGGGTGGCTCGGTCAATTAAGCGTCCGACTTCCGCTCAGGTCACGATCTCACAGCTGGTGGGTTCGAGCCCCGCGTCGGGCTCTGTGCCGACAGCTCAGAGCCTGGAGCCTGCTTCACGTTCTGTGTCTCCCTCTCTCTCTGCCCCTCCCCTGCTCACACTCTCTCTCTCTTTCAAATATAAACAAACATTGAAAATAAGAGAATAGCAAGCGGAATATCTTTTTCAAGACAATCAGAAAAACTTGGATATAGCCTGAGTACAGATGATGTTAAGGAATTATTGCTGTGGGTGACGAGATATTAAGGTTATATTTTGAAGGCCTTTATGTGTTGGGGATTCATGATCTAGTATTTACAGGTAAAGTTACATGAGCTCTTGGATTTGCTTTAAAATGCACAAGCAAAAAAGAAAAATGGTTGGGGAATAAAAAGGCAGAATCTATAAAGCTCATGATGGGTAGATAGGGATTTATTATGCTATCCTCTGTGATAGTTCCTGTAATAAAAAGTTTCAAAAGCAAGTCAGAACAGAAAATGACAAAGGGGGATTTAATATATTAGGCCATCAGATAAGACCTCTGACATTTGGCCTGAGACCTGAAGGTTGGTTAAATAGGAGGGAGCTGAGGGAAGAATAACAGGGAAAGGCATTCTAAGCAGAGGATACAACATGTGCAAAGGCCCCGAGGCAGGAAGAAACACAGCATGTTCAAGAAACGGCAAGGAGGCCAGCGTGGCCAGAGCAGGAAGACCCAGGGGTAAAGGGGTGCCACAGTGTACATCTCCTTCCCCCACCTCCTTCTCAGGCACCCAAGTGCAATGGGCCAGGGGGATCTCTGCAGGGAAGGAAGGGGTGATCCAGCCCATGGGGCTCAGGCCCCAGAACTCACTGCAGAATGCTGCACAGGTGCGTGGAATCTGATGGCTGCAGATGAGTTTGCAGGAGAGGCAGATGTTCAGTAGGGGATCCCAGTACTGTTCTTCGGGGCACTGACCCATGGCCACCCCCATCCGCAGGCCCTGTGGAGCTGAGAGGCAGGGAACATGAGGGTAGCTGGCACCCTGCCGTAGGTCGGAACCCAGCCTCTCCCACTCACATTCCTACTCTGTCCCGGCACGCAGAGGGGGAACCAGACAAAGCTGGCTTCCAACCCCAGCTGCCCCTGCTGGGTGGCCTGGGGCAACCATCTCAAGTCCCCAAACCTCGGTTTCCCCATGTGTGAGGTGGCAGTTCTGGGGCCGCCGTTCTTGCACCAGCTGTGCCCTTCTCATCCTGGTTCTTTGTCCTGTCTAATGTGCCTCTTTCTACCACGGTGCCTTTTCACCTGCTTGTCCCTTTGCATAAAATGCCCTTCTTCCCTCTCTGCTGGTTATTTTTTCCTGATCCTTTAGGTCACTGTTTCAATTTCATTTCCTCAGAAAAGCCCGGCTCTCTTCCCAGATTAGGACACTCCTCTTCTTCTGCACTACTTGGCCCTGTTTTCACTTCACTTTTACGACTGGGACTGTTTGATAGTGTCTCCCCCATCAGCTGTGAGCATCACGCAGGCAAGGACTCTAATTTTTTTGTTCACTGCTCGGCCCTCAGAACCTAGATAATGCCTAGGACCTATTAGGTGCTCATTAGGCGAATAAAAAGAAAAGCAGATCCAGCCAGTGCCTAGCATACAGCAAGCATTCAATAAATGCCAACGTCCTTGCCCTTCTCTTCTTTTACTGCGGCATGAGACACACAAAATGACGTGTGTACACTGCACAGATCTTAGGTGTACGACTTGATGAATTTTTCCATGTGTATACACCTGTGTCACAACCCACATCAAGGCCTAGAAATTTCTGGCTCCCTGAAGACTCTCTTGGGTCCCCTCCCGTCCAATACTCCACTTCCGCCGGTAACTTCTGTCCTGACTTTTATCCCTGTAGGTCATTGATATTGCCCATCCTTGAACTTTTGTGTCTGGTTGTTGGCTCCGCACGCTATCTGGGACACATTCTCTGTTGAGGCTCTATCAGTCATTTGCTTTGTATTGACGAGTCTCCCATTTTATGAATGCACCAGGTTTTCTCGAATTTTCTGCCTGATTTCCTGGTATTAGCTTCTCCAAAACGATATTTATCCTCAAAGGGAAAGAGAGCGGAAGAAGTTACCACACCAGGAGACAGATGTGAGCGACATTTTGGAATATGGAAGGCACGTGGACTGGGGTGACTGACTTCAGTTAAAGGTCTCTTTTCTCTGATGCCCGCAGGGAGAAGGAAGCTGACTTGAGCCACAGAACCCCAGGAAGCCTCTGGAACTGGAGGGACCAAGTACCTCTGACAACGGGAGATGGGAAGGCAAAACAGTGAAGGAAAGACTGGCTGAAAATGTACAGAAAGACAGCTTGACCCCAGCCGGATTCCATCGCCAGGCAGGTAACAGCCTCTCACCAACCCCAGCAGAAGATTTGGTGTCTTCTCAGGCGCAGCTGAGGGCAGCCCTAAGGTCCACACTCCCCAAAATACTACCTAAGGAGTAGTGTGACCATGTTTTTAAAAAACGTCTCCTTCCCCATCCAGCAACTGGCAGGGAATCAACAGACCCTTCTCTGGGAAAACTGACCCAGAAGAAAAGACCCAAAAGCACTAACTGGGAGATTCTCTCAAGAAAATGACCAAGTTTGCTGCTTGACCCTCTGAGAGCAAAGCTTCTGCATTAACAGCCCCATTCGTGTACCCAGAACTTCCAACAGCTGTTTCTGCCTCAATCTGAGTTTGAGCCAAAAGCCACAGGTCACCCGATATTGGAGTGCCACCCCTACATGAAAGAGAACTCAAACAAAGCCAGCAGAAGGGACATGCTGGGAGCCAAGAGAGACAATGCAAGGAACTGGAGAAAATTAAAAGGCAACAATAGCAACAGTTGATATTGATATTGATAGACAGATAGATGAATTTTTACATTCATGAAAAAGAATGGAGTACTGTCTTTAAAAAAGAATATGCAGGGGTGCCTGGGTGGCTCAGTCGGCTAAGCAGCCGACTTCGGCTCGGGTCATGATCTCGCAGTCCGTGAGTTCGAGCCCCACGTCGGGCTCTGTGCTGACAGCTCAGAGCCTGGAGCCTGTTTCAGATTCTGTGTCTCCCTCTCTCTGACCCTCCCCCGTTCATGCTCTGTCTCTCTCTGTCTCAAAAATAAATAAACGTTAAAAAAAATTAAAAAAAAGAATATGCATAGAACAACTGAGAATTATTAGACATTAAAAATATAACAGCCAGCATATAAACATCAGTAGAAGGGGTTGCAAGATGTAATTGAAGAAACTTCCTAGAAAATAGGGAGAGAAAAGATACGACAATTGTAGAATCACTTCAGGAAGCCCAGAGGTTGATTAAATGGGAGTTCCAGACTTCAAGGATACAGCTTCCAGATTCAAAGAACCAGTCGGGTGTCTGGCACAATGAATTCTCACCAGCCATGACCCATCATCATAAAATGTAGGAGGACCAGAGATTAAGAGCAGGTGCTAAAACCTTCTCGAGAACAAGCAGGCTACCCACAGAGTTCCGTTAGGAAGTCAGTGGGGATCCCAAATCAACACTGGGATGTGAGAAGGCAGGGCAGACGGCAGAGTAGAAGCGCCAGTAATCTGCCCTCCCGCCTAACAGATGTTGAGCTGGCAGCAACCATCTGAAGTGACTGTTCTGGAAGTTATCCCAGGGAGAGCTGGAGGAAGAAGCTGGTACAGTTTTGGAATTTTGGTGCATCTCAATGTATTTCACGGTGGTGGCTAGCATCCCTTGGTCTCCAACCCCATGTGTGCCGCCATGCAGGCAGCTGCTCATGTTGCCGGTGAAACTTGCTGGCACCCCGATGGGTGAGGAGGACCTTGTCCTCCAAACATTGGGGTTGTAGGTTCGGATTGCTGTTTGCTGCTCTTGATCAGTGAGGGGCTGGCCCAGAGGTTGGTGACCATTGTTTCAACCCCCAACGGCTGAGGTGGCTTCCAGGGAATTTAAAAGAGATGGTGCTCTTCTCCCCCCAACTCTTGGGAGCCAGACATTTAAGGAAATCTTTGTCCGGTCACTGGCTGACTGTAGAGATAAAGGAACAGAAACTTCAGTGACCACACACAATAAATACATACTTTGCAAAAAATAGTTTGGAAAAGCCACAAATGGATTCCAGCCATCAACAAGCAAGATACAGTAATCCCTGAGAAACGGGAGAATTAGAATTACTACAACAGAGTACTCAAAATATCCAGTTCTCAGAAAACTTACGAAACATACAAAGAAATGAGAAAATATGGCACATTTACAGAAAAAAGAATTTGACAGAAATTATCCCTGAGGAAGCCCAGACGTTGGAAATATTAGTCAAAGATGTTAAATCAACTGCCTTAAGTATATTCAATGCCTAAAGAAAATCATGGGCAAAAAACTAAATGAAATCAAAAAATTATGTATGAATGAAGTATAAGAATATGAATAAAGAGATAGAAGTTGTAAAACGGGAACCAAAACTTGGAAGCAAGCAAGGTTTCCTTCAGTAAGTAAATGGATAAATAAACTGTGGTACATCCAAACAATGGAATTTACTCAGCACTAAAAAGAAATGAGTTATTGGGGCACGTGGGTGCCTCAGTGGGTTAAGCGTCCAACTTCAGCTCAGGTCATGATCTCATGGCTCGTGGGTTCAAGCCCTGCACTGGACGCTGGGCTGACAACGCAGAGCCTGGAGCCCGCTTCAGATTCTATGTCTCGCTTTCTGTCTCTCTGCCCCTATGATCTTTCTCTCTCTCTCTCTCTCTCTCTCTCTCTCTCTCTCTCTCAAAAATAAATATTAAAATTTTTTTTAAAAAGGAATTGAGTTATCAGGCCATGAGAACACATGGAGGAATCTTAACTGCATATTACTAACTAAAAGAAACCACGCTGAAAAGGCTACTACTGCATGATTATAGCTATCTGACATTCTAGAAAAGGCAAAACTATGGAAACAGTAGAAAGATTAGTGGCTGTTAGGGGTTGGGGAAGGGAGCACGGAAATTATTCTGTTTGATACTGTCATGGTGGATACATGTCCTTCTACGTTGGTGAAATCCCGTAGAATGTACGACGCCAAAAATAAACGTTAGTGTAAACTTATGGACTTTGGGTGATAACGATGTATTAACACAGGTTCATCCGTTGTAACAAATGTACCACTTTAGTGCAGGATGTTCATCGTATAGGACGCTGTGCATGTTTGGGGGAATGAGGTATAGGAGGACTCTCTGTACTTCCCACTTGATTTTTCCATGAACCCAAAACTGCTTTAAAAATAGCCTATTAAAAATGGAAACAGGGGCACCTGGGTCGCTCAGTCGGTTAAGCATCTGACTCTTGATTTTGGCTCAGGTCATGATCTCATGGTTCATGAGATCAAGTCCCACGTCGGGCTCTGCTTTAACAGCACAGAACCTGCTTGGGATTCTCTCTTTCCCTCTCTCTGTGACCATCCCCTGCTTGTGTTTGGTCTCTCTCTTTCTCTCTGTCTCTGTCTCTGTCTCTCAAAATACATTTTTATAATTTTTTTTAAATAAAAAGATGGAAACAAAAAAATTCTGGAATTGAAAAATCTAATAACTGAAATGAATAAAGGTCACTAAAGGGGCTCAACAACAGATTTGAGCAGGCAGAAGAAAGGACAATTGAATTGCTTAGTCTGAGAAGCAGAAATTTTTAAAAATGAGGAAAAGTGAACAGAACCTGAGGGACTTGTGGGGCCCCATCAAACATGCCACCATAAATTTTTAGGAGTTCCAGAAAGAGAGAGGAAGAGAGAGAGAGAGAGAGAGAGAGAAGGACATAATATTTGAAAAAAAAATAAGGCTGAAAACTTCTCAAATCTTAGGAAAGACATAAATGTATGTTCAAGAGCCTCAATGAACTCTAAATAAGGTAAATTCAAAGAGCCCAATGCTGAGACACATTGTAATCAAAACGTGAGAATTGTAAAAGTTGCAACATAGAAACAACTTTTCACATACAGGTAACCTTCAAT